AAGTTCATGCCATGTGCTGTTGATAGTCATTTCTATCCACAACCTTCTGACTCTTTTACTTTCAATCAACTCTAGTACAGAATGTGTCAAACTGTCCAACATCTTTTCTATCGGACTCCCTCTGCCTCTCCTCTGCTCCAACTTTCATACTATCACGATGTACTCCAATTTTTACCCTCTGATCACATGACCAAAGAATGTAGATTGTCTCTTTCTGATGTGGGCAATCAGTTCTCTTCGTGAGTCAGTTTCTTTCAAGACATCCTCATTACTTTTTTTCGTCTGTCCAGGGTATTCTCATCATTCATCTATAAAACCACGTCACCTCAGCTTCCAAACATTTTTTCAATAATTTAACTGTCCATGATTCCCTTCCATATATCAAAATAGGAATTATATAGCCTTAAACAATTCTCTTTCTCGTCTCAATTGACAATGGAAGATTGCATCAAATATTCATTTGGTAAAATGATGTCTTTTTGTTTGATCTGTTCTACATTAATCTTCTTTAATATATCTTTCATCTGATGTTATCAGGGTACCAAGCACTCAAACACATCAACGTGCTTGCGGTTTTTTCAGTTTACTTTGATGTTGCATTGTGGAGGGTCGGTTTTCTTTGTAATTGCCATTACTTCTGTTTTTCTGCTGTTTTTTTTTTTTTTTTAACGTATCCAGAAGCCATGAGTTGTAAACCGTTTGTTCAAACTAAGACTCTTGTTTTGACTTTCTGTTACAATTATACCCATCATTTCTTTCAGTTGGTTTCATTTTCAGCGACCAAAACTATATCGTCAGCATATCGCCGGTTGTTAATAATATGCTCATCAACCGTATTGAGTAATTAGTTGAGTTAAGAATTGACATCACAGAACTCGGGACATTCCCATGCGTGCTCCGTCCTTATCTTCAGCAGCCATTGCAGAGTTCCAATACTGATGGTATCGGTCACAACCGTATTGAATAGAGACGGTCAAATACTAATAAATGTGTGGCGTTCTAAGGAATCAAAAATTGTATGTGTGAGTTCCAGGGCCCCATTTGTGGGAGAGAAGATAAGATTCATTGCGCCCCAAAGGATGTCTCAAGAGGCGACTCATTAGGATTTTGCTGAAGTCGGATGTGCAGATACCGCAACCTAGATGTGCACTCCGTCCATTTCCTAGTTATAGTGAACCCGTTTTTAGCTCCCTGTCCGTGCATTGGTGATAAATAGGCCAGTACCTGTCCTTGACAACCTCTTGCAGGAAGTTTTTCGCCAGGGACACAGATGAGTATCATTTATTGTGTACATTAGTCCCATGTAGTCACCTCATAGTTAGAGCATATTTGTGTATGTGTACTGTATTGTTCTTTATGTGCTGACGAAGGCTAATCGCCGCAAAGTCCTTTGTTTATTGTGATCAATTTTGTAAAGCTAATATAAACTGTTTGTTTTTTCTTACCAACTTTTTCTCTTCCCTATAATTTTCTAACCTTTTAAAAAGGTTGAGAGTAGCGACTTCATTGATTGGGATTCTCCCACTTAGCTTAGTATCTCTGCAGAACGTCTAGCCGAGAGCCTCGAAAGGGAAATTATAAAGAAAAGGGGAGAGAAGCAGAACCAATTATTTCCCTGAACACATCAAAGATGGTGGTTATCGTTCCTCTCCAAGACTGATACTTCAAGGATGAGAATCAAACCGAAGCAAATCGAAGAAACCGCTTCAACCACATAAAACATCTGTGCTAGCGGGAAGAAAAAGATGGAAAAACACAGAAGTAGGGGAGATAAAGGAAAATTGCAGAGATCCTAGAATATTTCACTAAGACCCAGACAAAGAATATCTGTATCGTGAGTGACATGACAACAACCTAAATACATGAATACACACACCTAGGTGAACCACGTGCACGGACTACAGATCCTAAATTAAATCAAGCAAATGAATTATAATTATCACATTAAACAGTTGTTTCTTTTACTCAACTGAACACAGAATTAACGTATAATTCACAAATAATACGTTAACAACAACCAACGTGTTAGACCAGAGGCAGAATCTAAAGTGCTAATCATCTCCAGCTAACAAGGAAATATACTAATGACACCATACGCTCAGCGAGGTTACCTCAACAATGGCAAAAACCGGAACATTTTTAACATGTAAGTTAAGCTTCAATATGCCAACAAATCACTTATATCGACCTGCCATTAAACTATCTCCTAGGGAGAATACAAAATGGAAATCAAATCTGACACCACCTAACCAAATGAAACGTACCGTGAGACCAGCCAGGGAAATTAGTCAGACAACTGGCCTTCCCCTGCAGTCGCCCATACTCATGCTGGCTAGCCCAATGTGCAGGGCCACAACAGCGTCCGGACGTCAAAAAGCCCTAAATAGCGAGTGAGCTGGCCTTTTTATACACAGTGTCCAGACTTGTCCGCGTTTGTAAACCAGAGTATCCGCCGAACAAACCAAAATCGTCAAGCTGCTGAACAGCAGTCTTTGTCGTTCTCGAGCCTATCACACATCTATACTAGAGCGCAGCTGAATCCATACACAGTGAATTACAGGTGACTTGGTAGTTGTTTTGTGATGCCCTAGTGTAATTGGGTTGTGTGGCTGTACGTTTTAACTGGGTCAAATACAAAGTTGGAGAATCTCTTTGTCGGTTCCGGGGTCCCATAATGGGGGTGGGGGGGGGGGACAACAAAAGACCAACTGCCTCCAGAATAAACATGTCGTAGGAGTCGACTAGTTGGTAACAAATATCCTTCGAAGTCTGAGTACATCTGCCTGAGCGGCAAAGAACCATAAGTATACATACAAATAAGCCAGATCTGTGAAACGGATGTGCATGCAACTCTCATGTTCTGAAGCTAGATTAAAGAAGACAAAGAAAAAATCTGGAGAAGAAAAAGGTAAAAAAAAAGGTAAAAAAAAAAAGGTAAAACAAAAATACACAGTCCAATGCGGGGATCAGTCAATCAATCAATTAGCATCGCGCCTAGAGGCACATAAGGCAGAGACAAACTGTCACAACTCAGTTCGATCCTGAGCCATCCTTCCTATCTCCAGGTTTATCATTCGCGTAGCCTTGAGTTCAGTCTCAAAGGTTCGCCTCCAAGTGCCTCTGGACCTGCCTCTTCCTCATTCTCCTTGTGGTGTCCATTGCATCGTCTATCTCGGTCGTCTCTCTTTCTTCATTCTAAGGACGTCTCCAGTCCCCCTCCATTTTCGATTTATTCAAATTTTTAAATTTACATCCAGGGATAGTGATCTGTGGAGACGCATGAGCACCTACGCCAATTAGCAGGGCACATGATGATGATGAGATGCAGACCCCAAAACAGCGAACAAACCTCCATTTTGAGGTGGTTCCTTGCCTCTCAGGCAGATGTACTCCAACTTTGAAGGATGTTTGTTCCCAACTGTCGTTTGTTGTAAATTAGAATTGCGGATTTTATCTTCCCATGTGAACCCCAACAATCTTCTGAGAAGTCTTCCCTCAAAACCTCCGAGCTTTCTGTCTGTTTTTCAGGTTTCTGCTGCAGAGAGGAGAACTGTCCTAACGCATGTTTTGTTTATAAAGGGTTTAATTTTAGTTCAGTAGATGTTTGATCTCCAGACACTCTGAAGTCTGTTTTAAGCAGCATTTGCCTTTGCAATTCTCTGCTTGATTTCAGCCACCACATTTCCATATGAGAAGATATTGGAACCAGTTACTGTTTCTAAATCTACATTTTCTATTACTATAGGTCTTTTACTTTTGGATGTTATCTCCTGCATTTTGTGTGTGTGTGAGAGCCGTGATTCCTAACCCTGTCTGTTTTGCTATTCCTGTAATCGTGTCTGTATTTTGTTGCAGATGTTCTTTACTGTGGCTGATGTCACAGATATCATCTGCAAAGTCCAAATGTTTCAGGTGTTCTAGAAGCTTCCACTGAAAGCCCGTCTGTGAGCCTGCGGTTGCTTTCTTCGTAACATAATCTATCACTATGAAAAACAAGAAAGGTGACAGAATGTACCCTTGTCGGACTCCTGATGTTACCCTAAGTGTTCTGTTTCCATGAGTCCTACTTTCCCTTTGTATTGGTATCCTTTATAAAGCCGTTAAAATATGTTTAAAACTTTAAATGGTAACTCGTACGCAGCAAAGATGTCTGAAAGTCAAAATATAATCACAGCCTTTTCTTTCTTTTCTGAATTCTGCCTGATCTTTTGGCAAAACTCTGTCTATCGACGTCTTCATTCTGTTGGATGTCACCCTACAAATTACCTTTCCGGATACAGACAATAATGTTATGCCTCTGCAGTTGTCACAGTGGTAGGGATCGCCTTTCTTCGATACTGGGATGATTACACCATTTTCCCAGTCTGTTGGGACCACTTCATTTATGCATACTTTTGTTGAATACTCCATGTAATGTTTTGGATGTAAATTGTGGATCTGCCTTTAACATGTCAGCACTAATTCGGTCTTCACCTTCCTATTCTTTATGTTGCTTATTGTCGTTTTCTATTTCTTTACCGCTGAAATGCACTGTACCCGTAAGGTCACTGACAACACAAGAAGGGACATGATTACGATATCAGCATTTTAGAAAAAGTCGGAATAAGATCACGACTGAATAATAATATTGACAAAGAATGAATTGCTTCGGCCATCTAGTAAAAATGCAGCCAGATCCAACTGCAAAAAAAAAAAAACTGTTTACAGCAGAAAAAAAAAAATAGACAGGTGAATTGTGTAAGTGAAACATGTAAAAAGATGAACATATCCACCACCCAAGTCACCAGAGAAGCGCAAGACAATGCAAAAAACTATAACATATGGCTAAAAACTGGTATCACTGATACTATCAGTGAGACGACAAAAGAAGGTGGTAAAAATATGAGTCGAAAGACGTCATCAATATCTGCGTTCCTGTGCCCCTAAGAGCGCACAAACTCTCGCAATCCGCTGGCGAGAAACGACGTGAGAAGGCCAAGGTTTCCCCGTCGGAAGGCAAAATGTCGGACACGGAGATGACGAACGAGGAGCTGGTACACGACTGTCTCATGACCGAACCAGAAAATGACCCTGAATTTGTGGAGGAACAGTTGAGTGACCGTCTTGTCCTGTCCTTTCATGTTTTTTGTGAAGACTACGACCGTTTTTATGTGGCCAGCGATGATGTGGTTTCAGTTTGACATTTTCGTACTGAATGTTCGGGGTTTTTCGAATGGAAAGACCTAGAAGAAATCACCACGACCGTGTGTGACCGACTTCTTATTTTGGCGTCTTTCTTGTATTTAACTGTATAGTTCACTGATTTTAGGCTGTTTTACCTCTGGGTATCTTTTATGTGCCGTGTTTTATATCAAAATGGGCATATTTAATTCATTAGACGTTATATTTAATAAGCTTTCCCCATAATTTTAATTAATAATTAATTGAAATCAAAGTTCGGGCACTAACATTCTGATTCATAACTAGAAAAGGAAAAGCCAACCTGCTTCTTGAAGAGGATTTTGATTTTAATGTCACACGTTGCTGTAATATTTTACATATTCCCAGTGTCATATCTTAGAAATGATTCCAACATGTTCACCCACTTGGTTACGGTTGCGTTTTAAATTCCGTATTTACTTCTTGGTTCCGTAGGGAGGGATTTCATACTGACCCACCTCCTGAGCTTTCACTTAGCACGCATGACTGACTTCTTGTTGTTTTGTATCATACACTGACTGTATGATTATCTATCACCCTGTTACATGTGAATGCACTTGTTACATTTTATCACAGTAAACACAAACCTGACCAGTATATTTTGTTCAACAATGTGAGTATATTATCCATATGTATGAAAGTGTTAGTCTCTGTTTCTGGTTGGGTGAAGAATTTCATTAATTTATTAAAGATTCAGCCATAGGGTCGGTGTTTTCAGTTTAGTCAAAATTTATTTTTTGAGCATGCATTGGATTAAAATGAGTCATTAGCTTTCCAATAAAATACAGTCATGAAAAACAAAATAAATGTTTCAGCTAGAAAGCCTCCATCAGTATACAAACACACTGGTAATGATATAGCTACATAAAAGACTAAATAATAATTTATGCAACTAATCAGCTAGCAGGTTCGTGAAAACATGCCTCAAAGTATCTCTGTCTCTAGCCAGTTCTCCATCCCTGTGTCGTCGCAGTAGCCCTAGTGCCTACATATAATTGAATGATTCCTTTATTTTCTCAGTAGCTCTAGTGCCTACATATAATTGAATGATTCCTTCATTTCGCAGTAGCTCTAGTGCCTACATATAATTGAATGATTCCTTTATTTTCTCAGTAGCCCTAGTGCCTACATATAATTGAATGATTCCTTTATTTGGCTATCCTCCGAATAACAGTCCCAAATTATCGAGGCCGAAAATATACCCCAACAGTTCCTCAGTCACATGTCAATTGCAGACTTCCGGGCACTCTGCCGCTACCACGGAGAGTATCTCCCACGCCGCTACGCGAGGCGTGGATTTGGGCTAAACTAGATGGCTGGGACTCAGGAGCAAATAAGGTGAAGGAAGCTGCAGGAGATGCGGTAGATGCTGTTTGTGAGTCCCAGCCATCTAGTTTAGCCTAGCACGTAGCGGCATGGGAGATACTCTTGGCGGTAGCGGTAGAGTGCCAGAAAGTCCGCAATTCAAGTCACCAGAGGTCCGCAATTGACATGTGACTGAGGCCCAGTTAGAGAGTAAATTTTCGGCCTCGATAATTTGAGACCGTTATTCAGAGGATAGCTTTTTATTTTCTCAGTAGCCTTAGTGCCTACATATAATTATTATGATTCCTTCATTGTTGTCTGAGTTGCTCTAATTCGTATATGTAAGTGGATTATTCTTACATTGCTGTCCAAGTAACTATATGTGATTAAAAATAAAATTGTTCTGAACAGAATGAGAGAAACGTAAACATTAAGGGAGATTAGCAGCACATAGAGATGTGTATACTCAGCGCTACTCTATGGCACAGAAAGCTAGACAGTGAAGGGTGAACATCATACTAGAGAGGATAGTTGAAGGCAGGCTACAGAGATGTAGGTAAACAATTATGTGCCTCCTCCACGGTGAAGGTTGGGTACAATGTACCGCCATTGTCTTTGGTAATGTTACATGGTGAGGCCCCGGTCTCTTCCGTGGTGTGACTTTCATACTGCTGTTCCAAAATAACAACATTTTTGTTTCTCTGTCCGCTGTGGGTAATGAACACAGCACTCGGATGATGAAATTCTGAACTGCGCTCGCAAGCCTGTAAGCTGCAGAGCCACACTACAGAGAGCTAGACAGTGATACAAATGGGAGGAAAACATTAGAAGATGGACAACTGGTAGTCTGAGAGTTTACAACCAGAGTGAGATAGAGTGTCGGAGATACATTGCAGTCTGCATTCATTTGGAGAAGGCATCTGAGAGATTGATTTTGTTTTCGCGCATGTACTATAAATGTACACAAGGACCAGGTTGATACTTGTCACGACCTGTCCAAGGTCGTCCTAGAAACAGGTTCTCTAGTGGAAAGCCTGGTCAAGATAGGATCAACATATCCTTCATCAGAGGGCCTCTACCTGTAAGGCAAGAAACCCATGTTCAGCACAACAAATTCCCCTTGTGGGTTCCAGGGCCCTGTTATATGGGGGGTGGGGGGGGGGGAATAGACCCACTGCCTACCAAAAGCATTATGTAGGTGCCAACTAATTAGGATTTTCCTTTGAAGTCAGAGTGCATCTGCCTGAGAGGCAAGAAACCAACAGTCTGCATACATATGAGTCAGATCTGTAAAAGCGGTGGGAATGCAACACTAGAGCTCTGGTTCAGGACTGCAGTCCAGAAGTGGACGAACAGCCAGAGTTTACAGCTGGTGAACGCATACAAGAAGAAGAAGCACAACAAATAGAAGCCAGATCTGTCTTGTCAGTTGGATGTGCAGGCAAAACTCATGTTCTATAATAAAACAGAAGTCCACGAGCAACCATAACTGTCCCTCAGAATTAACGGTCAGTGAACATGGAGTATAATTCTTCCCCTTGTACAAGGTACGTTACATGCTCAATGCCTGAGATATAGATACTTACTGATTGCCTCTGGGTAGCACTGTAAGCATCACAAGGTGTGTTTTGGCAGGTTCTAATTCTGCTTGGTGTGAGGGGGACACAGGAAATGACATTTTGCTAAAACCTGTTTTACATGTTTGTTTTTCCCAGGGGCCAAGAATTAGCAGAACAGAAAAAAGAACAAGGGAATGAGTTTTATAAAGAACACAAGTACAGAGAAGCCCTCCAGTGCTACTCAGAGGCAATCAGTAAGTATCTACATCTCATGCATTGAGCATGTAATTTACCTTGTTGTACAAGGGGAAGTCAGTCAGTAACATCAGGCAAGCATGGTTTACCTTGTGGGGGAAGTCAGCTACATCTCAGGAAAACCTACAAGAATTGATAGGCATTGAGCATGTCATAACAGGGGAAGTGTCATTATGGGGTGGCAGGAAAATGTATTGATAGTTTCTAAAGGTGTCATTAGATGACAGCGACGTCGAACTTTATGTCTCTGTTCGTTAGGTGGCGCTAGATGTTGCATGCGCATTCGTAACACAGAAACAAAATGGTGACTGTGCAGAGTGTAACCTCAAAGAACAGCATGCTGTTGTGCATGGGGGGGGGGGGGGGGGGGGGGGGGAAGAAAAAAGGACATTGATAAGGAAATGTTTCCTGTTTATTTTGACAAATATTTATTCCATAAAGCAGTGCATAGTTGGGCCAAAAAAAAATGTCTCATGGATGCTCTAAATTTTTTTTGATGAAATCCGATCTGGTCGTCCTATTGAGATTGCAACAAACACATCAGTGCAGTAGGTGAACATGATCAGAAGTGACAGTCGAGTAACTATTGACTTTATAGCAGCTACATAGATTTCCATCTTTTTGGTCCACTGAAACCCACCTTGGTCGAGACATTTTGCAAATGCCGCAAAAGTTGAATGTGAAGTGAAAATGTGGTTTAGAAAACAGAGCATGCAGTTCTGTGCAGCAAGTTTGGGAGGACTGATAAAACGATGGGACAAGAGCATCAATGTTGGTGGAAATTGGGTTGAAAAATTATTTGACAGTGTTTGTGTAAAAATAAATGCTTTCTGAATATTTTTTTTCAAGCAACCATTTGTGACCTATTTATTGACCTTTCCTTCAAAGAAAACTAGCTTCTGGGAATATTCCATTGGAGGATAAAAGACAAACTTGTTTTAATTTAGTCATGGAAGTTGTCATGTCACATAGGCACTGTTATAGTTTAGCCATGGAATAATTCAGAAAGACAATATTATTGTTTAGTCGTGGAATAATTCATAAAGGTGATTTGATAGTTTAGCCATGGAATAACTCAGAAAAGTAATAATGTTAAGTCGTGGAATAATTCACTGTAACGTCATATTTGTGGGGGTGGGGGGTGGCAAAAGGGCTGCCTGCAAAGGACATTTATAAGGAGGAGCTTCCTGTTTATGCTGACACATTTTTATCCTGTAAAGCAGTGCATTGCTGGGTAAGAAGGTTTTCCCAAGGACACTGCGATTGTTGGTGAAGTCTGATCAGGTCGTCCTGTTGAGATTGCAACAGAGCACGCAATTCTATGCAGCAGCTTTGGGAGGACAGATAAAATGATGGGGCGGGTGCATCAATGTTGGTGGAAATTATGTTGAAAAATAAAGGGCCGTGTATGTGTAAAAATAAACGTTTTTCAAGTTATCATCTTTAATTTCTTTTAAAAAAATTTCTGTCTCATTGACTTCTCCTTGTGTATAGTTCTACAGTGTGTCATTTCAGATAGGTAATTTATCATTTTGTCCGAAAAAAGTTTGTATCTGAGAATATTTATTTTGTCTGCGAAGCCAGGTCTGGTAATAGTGAATACTATGTTAAGTCTGTGGCCTCAGGTACAGTAGATTGAAAACCTTGCACTTTCAGATCTCTGTCCCACGTGTGCTGCCTACTATGGGAACAGATCAGCCACCTACATCATGCTACAAAGGTATAAAGATGGACTGGCCGATGCACAGTTTGCTATACAGCTGGATACAGGCTTTGTGAAGGTAAGCACAACATTTGTGGCTTGAGCAGAGATTGTGGTACCCTACAAGGCATACACCAACAGAGAAGGACATAAAGCACAAGATGGATATATAACTTCAAAGCAACTCTACAACAGCACTATGTATCTATGGCTTATATCTCCCTAAACACTCAGAGTGGTAAAAGAGGAAGGGAAGGAGGAGGAGAAAGACTTGGCAGCCTTTATCTGGGAGTAATGTCTTTGTCTTGTTTATTCTGTTCACTTCTACCTTTGGGTGGTAATACAGTAGAACTTCATTAACGTGGACTCACCATTTGGGTTCCTGGGCCTCGTTGAGGGGAAAACAAGAACATACCCATTTCCTCCCCCAAATAAGCAGGTCGTAGGAGTTGACTAACTGGGGGCATATTTGACGTCAGAGTGTATCTGCCTGAGATAAGGAACCAGAAGTCTGCATACAAAAAAAACAAACAGATATGTCTGTCTATAAAATGGACTCAACACTCAGGTTCTGGAACAAGTCTAGAAGTGGACGGACAGCCAGAACATTCCGCTGGAGTTTACAGCCAGTGGGGAAAAAAATTAGCATTTACTGGCTTAAGAAGAACACTGGAATAACAAACAACATTTTAGTCCCAGCAGGATGTATTGCTGTTAGTCCCAGCAGGATGTATTGCTGTTAGTCCCAAGTTGGCACGCACACAAAGTAAACATGATTCATGGACCCTTGGAATTCTTGTCAATGAAGTTTTACTGTATATCAAAGTGTTGTTTTTGTTGATATCATTTGAAACATTATGTATACTTTTTGACTTTGCTCTACCTGGATTGTGCTGTGAACTTCAGATTCTGAAAATCGTGTGTGGTCTGTTGCCAGAGAACTGGTGGTGCCTTATGCAATTAATTCCATGTACGATCACTGATCTGTTTGAGCTGCTTGTTCCCTCAGGGAATGGCATTTCTGGTGCTATACTGTTTGTGTGGGTTCTTCTAATGGCTTCTTTGGGCATTGAATGTTTTGTTATACTAATGGCTCTGCTGAGACTGTAGTCTCTGTCAGTTTTGTCCCCCAAGGGACGGTGGTGGATAATCTTTATAGTTTTTGTTGGCACTGGGATGAAGCAACTGTGGGGTAACCCATTTGATATGAAGTTGGAACTAGTTTCCTTGACTACCAAAGTCAAGAATTTTCAACATGTTAACAAGAGGGAGTGAACTCCAGTTTGGTGGCAGTTTAATGAAGAGTGAGCAAGGGCATGACTCAGGTAAATAACATGGATGGCTTGGGTGGGGCAAGAACACTGAGCTGATCCATGATTCTGGTGATTGTGTGGGGTGGTGAACAATGACTGCATATGCTGATAAGCAGGGTACATATATATGACGGTGAAAATTAAAGTAAGGAATCATGGAGATAATTATTCATTGTTTTGAGATTTGTGAATGTCTATCTTGAGATTGATGATGAATTTTCTTCCAGGATTACAAAAAGATTAATTCTGAATGTTTGTCTCTGTGCAGGGTTACTAGAGGAAAGGTGAAATGATATTTATTGATTGATTGCGAAAGACAAAATTATGGTTGTGAATGTTTATTGATTGATTGTGAATCATTAAGGATGAAATAATTGTGACTGTTTCATGCAGGGTTACTTGAGGGAAGGCAAGTGCCATTTAGCGCTGGGAAGTCCAGTGGCAGCCCTGAGAAGTTACAGACATGTACTGGAGCTGGAGCCCCACAACACAGTCGCCCAGACAGAGGTGAGCTTTTTCACATGATGAGACAGTCTTCTATGTGCTGCTGTAATGACAGTCTTTCATGTACTGCTGTAATGACAGTATTTTATGTACTGCTGTAATGACAGTATTTCCTGTGCTGCTGTAATGACATTCTTTCATGTACTGCTGTAATGACAGTATTTCATGTGCTGCTGTAATGACATTCTTTCATGTACTGCTGAAATGACAGTCTTTTATGTACTGCTGTAATGACATTCTTTCATGTACTGCTGAAATGACAGTCTTTTATGTACTGCTGTAATGGGGCAACATTTGTTTCTGCGCAGGCGGGTTCATGAATGGAAGAAGAAATGACAGTCTTTCATGTACTGCTGAAATGACAGTCTTTTATGTACTGCTGTAATGACAGTCTTTCATGTACTGCTGAAATGACAGTCTTTTATGTACTGCTGTAATGATAGTCTTTCATGTACTGCTGTAATGATAGTCTTTCATGTACTGCTGTAATGAAAGTCTTTCATGTACTGCTGTAATGATAGTCTTTCATGTACTGCTGTAATGATAGTCTTTCATGTACTGCTGTAATGACATTCTTTCATGTACTGCTGTAATGATAGTCTTTCATGTACTGCTGTAATGACATTCTTTCATGTACTGCTGTAACAACATTCTTTCATGTACTGCTGTAACGACATTCTTTCATGTACTGCTGTAATGACATTCTTTCATGTACTGCTGTAATGACATTCTTTCATGTACTGCTGTAATGACATTCTTTCATGTACTGCTGTAATGACATTCTTTCATGTACTGCTGTAATGACATTCTTTCATGTACTGCTGTAATGACATTCTTTCATGTACTGCTGTAACGACATTCTTTCATGTACTGCTGTAATGATAGTCTTTCATGTACTGCTGTAATGACAGTCTTTCGTGTACTGCTGTAATGACAGTCTTTCGTGTACTGCTGTAATGACAGTCTTTCGTTTACTGCTGAAATGACATTCTTTTATGTATTTTCATCAAACTCTCACAGGCTTATACAGTACTCTAAAGGTCTTTTCCACAATTATACAGTACTGTAAATAAATTCTTCTCTGTGCTTTTACAGTCCTCTAAAGTCTTTCCAACACTTTTGCAGTACATTATGGACCATCTCTGACATGCTGATACAGTACTGTAGGGGCAATCGTGCCTGTACTGCTGTAGATCTAGCTATACTTTGCAGATTGCTGTATCATTAATCTTTCATGTCTTTCTGTAGAGACAGTCATTCATGTACTTCTGTAGAGACAATTTTCTTATCTTTCATATAATTCTTTAGAAGCAATCTTTCATGTATTATCATAGAGCAGTCCTTAACACATTGTTAATGGCTATAAACGCTGCCCAACCTTTCAGGTAAATAAGTGGCAAACTTTCAGGTAAATCAGTGGCAAACCCCAAGCTTTCTTTTTTTATGTTGTATACAGTGAAGTGGATAAGTAGAAGTTCCAGGGACCTACGGAAATTGTTCTACTTATCCGAAATTCTTCTTATCCAGATAGCCCACATAGTGCAGTGTGTATACTAATAACATGGCCGGGACTAAGCTGACCATGTCGACTTAGCGAAATTTGACTTCAGAAGACTCGACCGTATTATGTCTTCATGTCTCTGATTTCTTCTACATTTGGAAGTAGCAGTCAGTATGTGGTAATTTGTTTTATCTTGTGATTTCAGTCCAATATTGCATCTCAAGTCCAGGAACATATAGCCAAGGCCGAAGCAAACTTTGAGAAGAGAGACTACAGAACTGTAAGTATTGTTGGGGTTCACAGGCCTCAGTTTGTGTGTTCCCAGGCCTGATTGTGTGTGTTCCCAGGCCTGATTGTTTGGGTTCCCAGGCCCCAGTTTGTGTGTTTCCAGGCCTGATTGTTTGGGTTCCCAGGCCCCAGTTTGTGTGTTCCCAGGCCTGATTGTTTGGGTTCCCAGGCCCCAGTTTGTGTGTTCCCAGGCCTGATTGTTAGGGTTCCTAGGCCCCACTTGGGGCAAACAATAGTAGACACACTGTCTGCAACAAGAAAGCAGTAAGAGTTGGACTAAAAGTGTTTTCTTCACAGTCGTAGTGCATCTGTCTGAAAGATGAAGAAACAACAGTTAGCATATCAAATAAACCAGATCTGTAATGCGAATATGCAAGCAAAACTCAAGTTACAGAACAAGACTAAAACCCAGAAGTGGGTGAACATAAAGAAGGTTGCTTGTTGTCCATGTTCTCTTGTACATGGTGAGTTGTTCTCTGTAGAATGTCTATGACTGCTAGATTGCTGGCACACTACATGGAATACAGTTTGGAATATGCCAGGCAATCAGTTGTGCAGTGTATCATTTGCCTGTCCTAGTCATTCAAATTCCCAACAGAAAGACATTGTTTTTAAATTATTATTCTGATTTATTTATATTTGATTGTTGAGATATTGCTGGTATTAATTCACATATTTGTCTGTCTGTAGACCCTATTCTACCTTGACCGATGTATAGAAAATTGTTGAGATATTGCTGGTATTAATTCACATATTTGTCTGTCTGTAGACCCTATTCTACCTTGACCGATGTATAGAACATTGTTGTGCAGCCCTTCATTTCAAAGTCCAAAAATCAGAAGCACTAGCGCTTATGGGGAAATACCAGGAAGCTCAAGAACTTGCAAAGTAAGTACTGTCAGGCCATTGATGGCTGAGTACACGTCAGTGTTTAGCACATATGTCATGGCTCATGCCGAATCTCGCAAGGAGCAACGTATATTTACCTACTATCTCTTGTATATTTCAGCGACATTCTCCAGAGGGAAGGGATGAATGCAGACGCCTTGTATGTGAGAGGGATGTGTTTGTACTATCAAGACAATACAGAGAAAGCCTTCCAGCACTTCCAGGAGGTTTTACGGAGGGCCCCTGACCACCACAAAGCCAAGGAAATATACAGGGTAAGGGATGCTTTTGTCTTGTCTTTTTTGTCCCAGTGTGGGTTCTAGTGTCTATTTTCGGGGGAGAAGACAAGAATGGACTCACTGCCCCACCTAACTGGCATGTCATACGGCGAAGGATTGGGGATTTGCTGAAACTAGATGTGATAGGCCCCAGAAACATAAGCTGCTGATATAGCCTAGCTGTAAACCACAAAACGTGTTGAACGCAGAGGAGGATTGGTACATACGTTTAGTATGGGTGAGATGTAGATATGAGCTGAAACCCGATTGGTTAGACCACAGAAAGGCGCAGATGTAGCCTACAGAGGAACATTTGTGTTTACATACATGGAAATGTTTATGTTGGTGAGATAGATATAAAATAGTAGTGGTTTATTTGTGCCTTTATACATGTTTGTGTGCGTGATATGTAGATATAGGTGGATGGTTATATTTATCTCTTCTATACATATGAATGAGATGTAGATATCTCGGGCCAGTTTCACTTCTCTCTCTAATACATCTATGTGTTTATGAAGTGTAGAAATGGATGTGTGAGGAGAAGCTGGCCGAGTAGTTAGAATGCCGAGCTCTCTTTCAGAAAACATAGGTTCAGATTTCCCCAGTGGTGGTGGACATTGTTATCTTTTAGGCAAAAATAAATTCCTAGTCTTAGTCATTAACCATTCAGTCGTTAATTTTTGGGCTGAAGACCTGCTATGCTTCGTTTGTCCTAATATATGTGTATGGGTAGGTGGGGTAGGTACCAAGGTTGATATACTTAACCGTGGAGTTCTGTGGTAATCATAGCCTGTTTCTTCTATGTATATTGTTAGTGATGTGAATGTCAGTGTCTCAGTTGTTGTGTGTATATTGTTGGTGATGTGAATCTCAGTGTCTCAGTTGTTGTGTGTATATTGTTGGTGATGTGAATCTCAGTGTCTCAGTTGTTGTGTGTATATATTTGGTGATGTGAATCTCAGTGTCTCAGTTGTTGTGTGTAAATTGTTGGTGATGTGAATCTCAGTGGCTGAGTTGTATGTATATTGTTGGAAATATGAATCTCAGTGGTTGTATGTATATTGTTGGAAATGCGAATCTTAGTGGCTGAGTTGTATGTATTTTGTTGGAAATGTGAATCTCAGTGGCTGAGTTGTATGTATTTTGTTGTAAATGTGAATCTCAGTAGCTGAGTTGTATGTATTTTGTTGTAAATGTGAATCTCAGTGTCTGAGTTGTATGTATATTGTTTGTGATGTGAATCTCAGTGGCTGAGTTGTATGTATATTGTTGGAAATGTGAATCTCAGTGGCTGAGTTGTATGTATATTATTGGAAATGTGAATCTCAGTGGCTGAGTTGTATGTATATTGTTGGAAATGCGAATCTCAGTGGCTGAGTTGTATTTTTTTAAAATGTGAATCTCAGGGGTTGTGTGTATATTGTTGGTTGATGAGATATCACAGCCTAGCTGTACGCTGTAACATAGTGTGCCAACCACCCTTTTAAGAGTGAATGAGATGCTAGGAGGATAAATCTGTATTTTGAGACTTGTTACCCTGATCAGCTTGACTGACACTTTGTTATTATATCCATGTTTGCAGAAAGCCAAGTCATTGACGGCCAAGAAGGAAGAGGGTAACGCAGCATTTCGTGGTTGCAAATACGATGAGGCCTATAACCTCTACACAGAAGCCTTGAGCATCGACCCCAACAACAAAGCAACAAATTCAAAACTCTTCTGTAACAGAGCAACCGTTTGTTCGAAGGTAATAATCTCTGGATATAAAACCTCTTTGAATAGATCAGTGACCCCCTCTGAGTTAAGACCTAGGGGACCTTTTTATTTAGATGGCTGCCATAGACTCCAATTTTTTTTAAAAATTAGAACTTACTCCAGTGAACGGTGACTTAGAAGCTTAACAAAGGGGAGCAACTTACGGACAAAAATACATTTTTGGCCAGAGCCGTTTTTGACAGGAACTACATATCAGTTACAAAGAGCTATTACTGCACTTACTTAGTCGCTCCTCTTCTACCTTGGGGTGTAGAGGTTAGCCAGAGAGATCGCCAGACGTCTCTATCAGCAGTTTTCTTTCTGGCTTTGTTCCATTCCAGTCCTCTGTCAGTTAGGGACTGTCGGATATTGTATTCCCTGGAGGTCTGGTTCCCTGGTTCTTAGCCTCCCATGACTGATCCACTCAGGTTTGTAAGGACTGGGTATCAAGATCTTGACGTATTGTCTGATTGCAGACTATTGTACTGCAACCACCAGTAATTAATTTTATGTTATTAGCTTGATTGGAGGTCACCCTGTTTTCATATCAACTGTGAGCGTATTGATGGTTGGAGTGCTTTGCTCTTTGTTACTGTTGTGTAGTTCATTTTGAGAAAGGCTTGAAGGATGGCATGTCAGTTTATCTGTTGCATATATGTTGTTCCTTTTCCCCTTCACTTAACCATTTTAGCCACTGTCTTTAGACCCATTCATCTCTGTCTTCCTGAGCATACTCATTGAGATTACTGAGCATACTCTTCGAGATTCCTGAACATACTCATTGAGATTCCTGAACATACTCATTGAGATTCCTGAACATACTCTTCGAGATTCCTGAACATATTGAGATTCCTGAACATACTCATTGAGATTCCTCAACATACTCATTGAGATTCCTGAACATACTCATTGAGATTCCTGAACATACTCTTCGAGATTCCTGAACATACTCATTGAGATTCCTCAACATACTCATTGAGATTCCTCAACATACTCATTGAGATTCCTGAACATACTCATTGAGATTCCTGAACATACTCATTGAGATTCCTGAGCATACTCATTGAGATTCCTGAACATACTCATTGAGATTCCTCAACATACTCATTGAGATTCCTCAACATACTCTTCGAGATTCCTGAACATACTCATTGAGATTCCTCAACATACTCATTGAGATTCCTCAACATACTCATTGAGATTCCTCAACATACTCATTGAGATTCCTCAACATACTCATTGAGATTCCTCAACATACTTATTGAGATTCTTGAGCATACTCATTGACTCATTGAGAAAGCATGCACAGTCACTCGTGTTTTCATAACATTTGTATAGTCACACTGAAGAATTACAATTTATAAATATTAGATTTGCAAACAAGGACTGTATTTCAAAATTTGTTTAAAAAAAATAAATATCAAGGACCCGTTTATTTTTTTTAATGAACCACCAGATGAGAAACTCATGTATAGACTACCACGGAGATAAAGTGTATGTGTCTGTTGTATGATATTTTGAATGTTATTTCATGTGTAGTGGTTAGTGCATTCATCTCTCAATTCATAGGCAGTGAGTTTGATTCTCAGTAATTGCAGTATTGCTTTCGGTCTGACTTATGCAACAGTGGGATCTGAGAAGGTATAGGGTTGGCATGATGCAGACAATATTGTTAACAACCTATGTGTGGAATCTAGGCAGCTGACTTGATGTTGAGTACAACACCCGCCGAGTGCTGATTGATCTAGAATCATAGGCCTGTTATATATGGGTTCTGGGGTCACATTGTGAGAACACAAGAACAGGCCCACCGCCTCCCCAACGGCATGTCGTAAGTGTCGACTAATTGGGAGCTTCCTTCAGAGTCAGGGTGAATCTACCTGAGAAGCAAGGAACCAACAGTTTGCATACAAATAAGCAAGATTTGTAAAACAGATGCACACAAAATTCAGGTCCTGGACAAGCAACTAGATCTTTCTGCCAGGGTTTACAGCCGGTGAACACAACAAACATATGCCTGATAGGTAGCTGGGGTAAAAGGGTCCTCTATTTGCTATATTTACTAATTAATGTACTAGAGTGGTCAGTTTACTTCCTAATGAGTATACGAGTGGCCATATCTGCAGGTTCACATGGAAGAGCGTATGTGGCTTTATGCTTGGTTCATGCACATGAATAAGTTATCTGGTGATATATTCCACAGTTGAATAAACTTGAGGAAGCCATTCAGGACTGCACCAAGGCCATAGAGTTGGATGATACGTACATGAAAGCATACATGAGGAGAGCCAGATGGTGAGTGAATATTGTGATCGGGTTATTGCTCAGTACTTGTCATATCCTATCATTGTTGTATCTGTTGTTGTTTGTTTATCCTGTAAGGCTCAATCTGCCCACACAGAAAATAACTGGCTATATGCTAGGAGTGATGTGCAAAGTATGGGCTCCATAGCTCCAATGGTGATCTCCAGGGATCTCTTAAACCTACACCTTTATGAAACGACCTCACAACCTCCCCATGTGGGTTTTAGGGTCCCATTGTAGGGAAAAAAAGAATAGACCCACTGCCTCTCCAGCAAGCGTGTCTTAAGTCAACTAATTGAATGCTTCCTTCAGTGTCAGAGTGCATCTGCCTGAGAGGCAAGTAACCAACAGTCTGCATACAGATATTTCAAATCTGTAAAAGGGATATGCATGCAACACTCATGTTCTGGAATAGTAAAAGTCTGGAGGTGAACAAGAAACCAGAGTTTACAGCCGTGAACACGAAGAAGAAGAAGACCCAACAACCCTAAGAGCGTGAAGCAGAGAGCTCGATCACTTTGTGAGAGAGACTCCTGACACATTCATTGTTGTTGAAAAAAAACAACCTTGCGCCTTTACCTACAAGATAGATACAGAATCTTATTCAGCCTCTCGTATGCTTTTAAATTTGAAAAAAAAAAAATTTGCTTACTAATACCCCCTGGAATTAAACAAATAAAACTATGAAAAAATCAGTGTGAACAATTTAGTAACTAACCACTGCAAGTTAAACTAACGCTGCTACACATTGTTTTCATAATTTTTGTTATGCTGTCTTTTAATGTGCATGCACAGACACCAGCTTTTCTTCGCAATAAATGCACCCCACCACATGAACAAATAGCATCCGTTCGAAGGAACTATGAGCATCATCAGCCAACCACAGTGCAGTAGCTACTACTGCCTACTTCACACTATAGCAGTTTCATTAATATATACAGCAGAGTAGCCTATTATTGTACAACTATACAGTAACAGCTTCCTTACACTGCACTTTACTCTACTGCTTGACTGTGTTGCAGCAGCCTTACTGTACATGGCACTCTACCAGTGTGAAATCCTCTGCCACCTTTCATGTATTTTTGAATTGAATTAACCTCCATTGATTTATTTCTTCCCTTCTTTTAGTTACACAGACACAGAACTCTTTGAAGAAGCAGTCCGAGACTATGAACAGATTTACAAAATGGCAAAGACCAGAGGTAAGTCGCTGATGAGACTATAGCTTATAATGTGCACACTCGTGGTGGGGGGGGGGGGGGGGCTATTAACTTGATGAGGATAAACTCATGACCAGATAGCCTTAATTCTACATTGTTAGCCTTCAAAAAATCATTATTGAAACAAGGTGGTTCACTTCCCTTTGACGCTGTGGTAGTGGGTCGAGCATCCAGTTTTCTTAGAGAAAACAAAAACTCTACATACCCTTCTGCTTGTTATATATGCTAGAAATCTGTACCGCACCAAGTGGCTGCCCAGGCTAAATTAGAAATTAAAAAACTACCCACAAGGTACTATTTAAGGCATCTAATCTGTTAGTTTGTTCTATTAAATATGTCTAACACTTTATACTATTTAAGGCATCTATCTGTTAGTTTGTTCTATTAAATATGTCGAACCCTTTATACCCAGTACGCCTGAAGGCCTGAAAGAGGGCTTCAAAAACAAAATCAGTCTGTGACACACACAAACTTACATATGGATACATAGTTTTGTGTTCACTGACGGTAAACTCCAATGAAAAGTTCTAGCTGCTTCTCCACTTTTGGACTTCAGTCTTATTCCAGTAGAGGATTGTTGCATGTGCAGTTTGTTCAGCATATTTAAATGCAGACTGTTGGATCCTCTCTTCTCATGAAGATGCACACACTTTGAAGGAAACATCAGCCATCAGCCCTGTCTGATCTGGCCTGATTGGTTTGATTGAGAACCTGTTTGTTTGGATGACCACGGAGGGTAGATGGGTCGGGACCAGTTTGAGGCATGGTGTGCCATCATGTGTGGTTCAGCAGTTCTGCATCCTTGCATACCCACCAGTATTGCAGGGTTGGTGCACAGTGCTGAGATTCTCCTTGTGTGAACTTGGACGTATTACCCTCATTGCACATCGAATCATTCAGGCCATAAGTTCTCGGATCCCCTCCTCAGTAAATAACTGATGACACTAGTCCTGTGTTTGTTTACTGCAGAATGTTCTTGTCTGACCATGCCCCTTTTGACTTGCTGTTCTTGCAGTCTGGTCATGTCAAAGTTGCAGATATCACCTGGTTCTCTCAAACAAACATCTTAATTCTCGTTGAGTTTTCATTATTTTAGCCTGGTCCCACCCTTCACAGTAGCTTTACCTGCCAGCATATCAGCTTGCTCATTTCCTCACACGTTCATTCAATTAACCTTTGTTAGCCCGGCCGCCTCAGAGACACCAGAGAGCCAGCCCATCTTCCTGAGCATTTCATTGAGTCATTGTGAAAGCTTGTGCGGGTGAAAGTCTTGTCTCCAGCCATGCTGTCATTAAACTGAGAGGATACTCTGAGCACTTATCTGAATATTTATGAGAAAGAACAAAGGTATGGTCAAAAACCATTACTAAACACAAGCAGCCAGATATTGTATTCCTGATGCCTTCCGACTTATCGTAGAGTGACACATGTTGTCAAGTCTTTTCTACATGTTATCCTGCAGAGAGGGGTGATTAACTAAGAAGTTAAGACTCTGGTCTCATTCAGGAGAAAAATTAAGTACAAGTAGTAAAGATGTTTGTTTTCTTGTTCCGCAGAGAATAAACAGCTTCTCCAGCAGGCCAAGTTGGAGCTGAAGAAAAGCAAGAGGAAAGACTACTACAAGATCCTGGGGGTTCACAAGACTGCAACAGAGGATGAGATTAAAAAGGCATACAAGAAACGAGCCTTGATACACCACCCTGGTGAGTGTCTGTAGTTGGTTGTGGCATCCATAGTCTATGACTGATCCATGGCATTTTGTGACTGATCTATGGTATTGTATGACTGATCTATGGCATTTTGTGACTGATCTATGGTATTGTACGACTGATCTATAGCATTTTGTGACTGATCCATGGTGCTGTTTGATGGATCCATGGTGCTGTTGACTGATCCATAGTGGTGTTTGACTTATCCATCCTGATGCTTGACTGATCCATGGTGTTGTTTGACTGATCCTTTGTGTTTATTTGACTAGTCTGTTGCTTGACTGATCCATGGCGTTGTTTGACTGATCAATAGTGTTGTTTGGCTGATCCATGGTGGTGTTTGACTGATCCATCCTGATGCTTGACTGATCCATGGTGTTGTTTGACTGATCCATCCTTATGCTTGACTGATCCATGGTGGTGTTTGACTGATCCATCCTGATGCTTGACTGATCCATGGCATTGTTTGACTGATCAATGGTGTTGTTTGACTGATCAATGGTGTTGTTTGACTGATCCATAGTGGTGTTTGACTGATCCATCCTGATGCTTGACTGATCCATGGTGTTGTTTGACTGATCCATCCTGATGCTTGACTGATCCATCCTGATGCTTTACTGATCCCATGTTGTTGTTTGACTGATCCATCCTGATGCTTGACTGATCCATGGTGGTGTTTGACTGATCCATGGTGTTGTATGTGGTGTTACAAGACTGATCAGTACAACAGGATTATGTAGAATTCCTAATTTTCTAGCTTGTTTGTTTGAGATCTGTGTTTGCTTGAACCATACCCCGAAAAAAAAAAACGATTCCCCTATCTGTTCAGTGTGATAGGTCTATCTCAAGAATTGTTATATATGTTGCCCTGCTTTGTTCCAAACATATTGGTGGTAGTTTTTCTTTGGGGTTAACAAACTAGGCGGTCCTGCAGCATGTGCAACACGGGATCGCTGCAGCACTGCCCATGCTTGGTGCCATGTAGAGGAAAGTCATCATCTCTGGTCTCATTTGGTGTTGCCATGGCCTGTGATTCCCATACCCTGCTGTGGGGAGGTGAAATACCTATCATCTGGAAAGACCTAAAGATGCCAACAATACCGTACACAGTTTTTGGGCCACGCCTCAAAAGAAAAGGGTTATGGGTGCCTTAGGAAGCCTTGTTTAACAGTGCTGTAATGAAATAACTATTATATATACTATTTTATTATGTGCTGAATTACAAATAAATAGTATACAATGTTTGAAATGAAATGTATAAACAAATGCTTAATAACAGACCCATTATATATAGTGTATAAAATGTTGTGGTCTGGGAAGGCTGTCTCTCCAACTCCACCATATTAACAAAAGGTGCCTGAAGTATGTGACTGGTTAAACACTTAAAGACTATTGAGGTGAGCCCGTTGAATGTCTTGGCTAATCTTATGGTTGCAGACCGCCACTCACACGACACCATCGACAAGCAGAAAGAGGAGGAGAAGAAGTTCAAAGAGTTGGGAGAAGCTTACAGTATTTTATCCGATGCCAAGAAAAAGGCTCGTTACGACAGTGGCCAGGATCTTGAAGATGGAGATGGTTTTGGATTTGGTAAGTTAGCTTATGTTGGTAACATAGCCATACAGTGTGCGTCATTTGTCTTGAGTTGTCTGTTCCTCTTAAGATTTGCTCTGACTGCAGATATGTATACAAGTATAGATACAAAAAAAAAAATATTTGCAGTAGTAATTTACACTTCAAAAGCGAAGTTGGTCATTTTATCTTTGTTCTCTAGCTGTAAGCTCCGGCAGAAAGTCCTGGTTGTTAGTCCATTAGGACTTTGGCTTCGTGCCAGGCGCTTTTACTGGCTGATTTATGTGCAACTGGTCTGCATGTGTGTTTCTATGTGTTTGAGTGTGTCTCTGTGTGCGTCTGTGTGTGTTTGTTTGCATGTATGTCCATATGTGTTTGTCTCTGTTTGTGTTTTGTCTATGTGGCTGTATGTATGTGCCATATGTGGGTGTCTGCATTTTTTTCTGTGTGAGTGTATGTGTGGATGTCAGTGCGTGAGCATGTATGTATATGTCTGCTGTACATGCCTGTGTGTTTGTGTCTGTGTGTGTTTGTCTATGTCAATGTTCCAGCATGTCTGCTGTGCATCTGTATGTATGAATATGTGTCTGTATGTTTGTCTGCACGAGAGTGTGTGTATCATGTTTGTGTGTCTGTGTATGTCTCCATGCAAGCATGAATGTATGCCTGTATGTATTATGTATGTATGTGTATATATGTTTTGCATGCATTTTACAACCCATGCTTTTGTGTTCGTTCATGATATTCATAGTATGCATATCATCATAACATGCTTTATTAGTAAATTACAACTGCTATGCGAAATATGGGTGATTGGAAGGGCCGAATGTAAAAGGGCCTGTGTGCCCAATTTGTGACCCTTTGAAAATAAAGTTAATTCGTTCATTTTGTGTCCGTCTGCCTACCTAACACAATCTTCTCTGTAAAACTAAATTGCTTTCTCTAAAACCAGTATTAATATTTTTCCTGACCTATTTATTACACCCTCTTTCTTCTCCTCCACACACTCTCAGCTGTCTTTACAATATTGCCTATTCATGAATTGTTCAGTGAGCAGTAAATAATGTTGCCTGTTTGGCTCTCTCTGACAGAAACAGTGGACCCCAATCAGATATTCCAGGCATTCTTCGGCGGAGGCAACATGGGCGGCTTCACCTTCGGAGGTCATTCGGGTGCTGGGCACTTCAGTCATGGCGGGCACTCACAACATGGCGGCTTTCCTGGTTTTTCATTTCAGTTTGGTTGATGTTGACCTGTCCTCGGCCTCGCATGTTTCCCTTCTACATTGTCCCTTCCAGCAGCCAGATTTTGTTGAAACAGGATGTAGCTATGATTGGTTCCTCATTTTTATCTAAGAGAAATAACTAGCCACACACACTTACAGGCACGGTCATGCCTTTATACACATAAACACATACATGCAGGGGCCTGTCTTCACACCTATTCGTACACAATCAGTTTGTCTTGCCCTTGTTAGATATGGCTTACAGGTTTGTAGAATAGTTTCACAATGCTACCCTCAAGTGTTTTTTTTTTTTGCCAGGGTTTGTTTCCTGCGGTGGACAGTTTCAGAAATGACTATTCTTATGGCTTACAAACTGTGGTATGAGAGTCACACCGTAGAAGAGATTGGGCCCTCACCACATAATATTCACATAGTTGGCAGTAAATACATTGTTGCTAACCTCCATTTTGGAGACGACAGATTGTTTGTTTTCATTATTATTACTAATTAGGCGGATGCTGCACTTGACCACAGCTGACTCAACCCTTGAGAATAGTCAGATATATGGAAGCATATCTGGCAGTGTGTTAAACTGGGTTTACAAGTTGTTGGGTCGACACTAAAAACTAGAAATGCAGCTTTCACAATTTCTAGTCTTCTCAAGTGAGCGGAGCAATGATTTTTGGCGTAACCACACCTCAATGCATTTGCTACAAATATATTCTTTCGTAGTGAAAAATAAAAGTTAACAGATTCTTGGTCCATTCTTTCGGTGCCAGACATCTTACCCTGTGTTTTTGAATACTCCATAGAAAATATGGTTTCTAACTTATTTTGTCCTTCCCTGTATTATACGATTTTATTCTTTTGTCTCGTCCACTTGTATTAATCCACTCTGTCCAAATTGTTAGTTTTCATTCTCTCTTTTCCTAAGACGTATCCAGATTTCTGTGACTTTTTGAGCGGCCCCTGCTAGAATTAGACAAAAGTTATAGTCAGAGGTGCGTCATACGAAAAGAGTTAACCAGGACGGCAGAATGTGTTTTTTTAAGTGATGAGTTACAGGGTGGACAGTTATGTAATGCAGAACTAATCTTAACATGTGGCTGCGAATCATGGGTGATTTATACTAGGCTAGGCGATATTTGTAGTTCCAAGATAATGGGTTTGATTCCAGCTGCACACAGTTTGGCAGAAGACCACATTGTGTTCATTTAAACAGTGGTATCAGAAAGCAGCAACAAACTACTGAGCATGAATTTACATAGGAAAATCACAAACTCCCACTACCAAAATGTTGTTAGTCTTGTAAAGAGTATGTAGCTGTTAGATTGTTTAGCCAATGTTCAGGCTGTAGTGAAGAATGTAGACAGGAAAACACTGCTGGGTTGAAATAGTTGATGTTCCAGTGGAGGCAGATGTTTTTTAGCATCAAAAGGAGGCATTTCACTTTCTTTAGCCCTGTAATGAGCTGGCAGTTTTGAAAAAGAACGGCTGTAAATATTTCTGACGAAGAAAGTAAAGTTCTACAAAGAGAACAGTCACCGGGTTCTGGTTTGGATTTCGGTAAAGGATATCTTTGTTTCCACTCTGATGGCTCTATAAGTGCTTGGCATTGTGGCATGACAAAAAAGTCAGCATCATACTGGGAAGGTTAGCATCAAAATTGACCTGTGACATGTGAGACCCAACACGTTTGACGAGCCAGGGGTCTCCATGACAGAGTGGTTAGTCCATTTGTGTGCACACTGAAGGTTGCGGGTTCATTTCACTGATGCTTTGTTCAGTAAGGTGCTATTTAAGGAAAACCTTGTGGATCATCACTGGTGCTACAGAGTTCATGTTTTGTGCAATGCTCTTGGCATGCAAAAGAATGGCTGAGCCAAATGGGATAAGACCAAGTGCTGTGAAGCAGATCCTCTAGTTGATATACCTTTGCCTTAGTCGTGGTGAGAAATAGCAGCCCTTACCATTAGGACAAGGCATATATAGGTTTGAGAATTTAGCAGCTGGGCAGAAATTATTTCTTTTAGCCTAATTCCCAAAAGCAAGATTTTATTGCTTTATGAATTAATGACTGACAAAATTTGGTTCTGTTCTTTTTAACAGCTCTGGTGAATCAAAAAACAACCCAGGTTGGAGAGAATAATGTTTAGAAGGTTTAAAAACTGGCAACTACATAAAAAGACTTTATTAGGTCATCGTCATTCAAAAATTAGTTTTGTCAGTAATTAGAAATATGTTATAATCTGAGGACTGATGCGAGCGGGAAACCTGAAGGCAAGCTTTTATATGATGTAGCATTAAAACTATCAATGAATACATTTGGTTTTTTTAAAATCTTTTGATGAAAATCTCTGTTCTTGTTGGTCAGTCAGGTCTGTGTGTTTCTAATGTATATCTGTCAGATTTTGCTTGCTGTAGCAGATATGTCAGGTCTGTTGAATTTAAATTGTTGTGTTTGTCTGTCGTAGCAGATTTATGGTATGTCTGTTCAATCTGTATCTGTTAAATCGAATTTTTGCCACTTCTGTCAGAAATATGCTTGCCTGTTGTATCAGTAATCTGTACCTGATTTGTCTGTCAGCCAAGTTGATGGGTAGAGAATGAGTGCTTCTGTGTTGTGAGTTACCTAATACAGTACCAGCATCATCGATGTTTGATTACGTCTGTGGGTCTCTTCTACTCTGTGTGTTTGAGTTGATGGTGATGATTCAGTATTTCTTGTACCTGATGTAAATATCTCCAATGCTGAAAGGAGTTTGGATTTCACTGTACAGTAGAACACATACCACCGTTGGTTTCATTCTCTGAGGCCAGATTTGGGGTGACTGTGTGTCCCTGTAAGATCATACATGCTTGGCCTGTTTCCAGACTTGTTCAACCTCTGTTTTGCAGGCTGGAAGTTGATCACTTCACCTTATTGATGGTGCTTTTTGGTTTAAAACAGGTTACTGTGCAGGTCATCTAGCTGTGAGAGGTCACCTTGATGGTGTGTGTGGGTTGATTTCATGTGCTAGCACGTTGACATGTCTTGTAGTCTTAGTTTCAGCTTCATAGCAAATGGGTTGACATGTGTGGGTTCCATTCATGAATGATTTGGTTGTCAAGCTATAAGTGGGTCACCTTGGTAATATAGACGGATCATCTCATTAATGTTTGTAAGTGATCTTGTTGTGACAGGGTTCCCTAGCAGATGTCAGTGGGTCGTCTCACTGATGTTTGCCGACCATCTCTATGTGACAGGGTTGTCTAGCAGATGTCAGTGGGTCATCTCACTGATGTTTGCCGACCATCTCTATGTGACAGGGTTGTCTAGCAGATGTCAGTGGGTCATCTCACTGATGTTTGCCAACCATCTCTATGTGACAGGGTTCCCTAGCAGATGTCAGTGGGTCATCTCACTGATGTTTGCCGACCATCTCTATGTGACAGGGTTGTCTAGCAGATGTCAGTGGGTCGTCTCACTGATGTTTGCCGACCATCTCTATGTGACAGGGTTCCCTAGCAGATGTCAGTGGGTCGTCTCACTGATGTTTGCCAACCATCTCTATGTGACAGGGTTCCCTAGCAGATGTCAGTGGGTCGTCTCACTGATGTTTGCCAACCATCTCTATGTGACAGGATTCCCTAGCAGATGTCAATGGGTCGTCTCACTGATGTTTGCCAACCATCTCTATGTGACAGGGTTCCCTAGCAGATGTCAGTGGGTCGTCTCACTGATGTTTGCCGACCATCTCTATGTGACAGGGTTGTCTAGCAGATGTGGATGGCTCTACTTGGCTCGTGTCACTAATGTGTGTCATCTTGCTGTGGGTGGATATTGCAGCTGGTGAAGATGGGTCACCTAGCTAGTGTCGGTGGGATACCTTATCAGTGTGCATAGGTCACCTTATTGATATATGTTACCTAGCTTTGGGTATTGGTTATGTCGCTGGTGAAGATGGGTCACTTCACTGATTTGTGTTATCTGGCTGGGGGTGGATCACCTAGCTAGTGTAGATGGGTCACTTCACTGATGTCTGACATCTGGCTGGGGGAGGGTCACTTAGCTAGTGTAGATGGGTCACTTCACTGATGTCTGTCATCTGGCTGGGGGTGGGTCACCTAGCTAGTGTAGATGGGACACTTCACTAATGTGTCATCTGGCGAGGGGGGGGGGGGGGGGGTCACCTAGCTAGTGTAGATGGGTTACTTCACTGATGTCTGTCATCTGGCTGGGGGTGGGTCACCTAGCTAGTGTAGATGGGTCACTTCACACTAATTTGTGTCATCTGGCTAGGGAGGGGGGGGGGGGTCACCTAGCTAGTGTAGATGGGTCACTTCACTGATGTCTGTCATCTGGCTGGGGGTGGGTCACCTAGCTAGTGTAGATGGGTCACTTCACTGATGTCTGTCATCTGGCTGGGGGTGGATCACCTAGCTAGCGTAGATGGGTCACTTCACTGATGTCTGTCATCTGGCTGGGGGAGGGTCACTTAGCTAGTGTAGATGGGTCACTTCACTGATGTCTGTCATCTGGCTGGGGGTGGGTCACCTAGCTAGCGTAGATGGGTCACTTCACTAATGTGTGTCATCTGGCTGGGGGTGGATCACCTAGCTAGTGTAGATGGGTCACTTCACTGATGTCTGACATCTGGCTGGGGGAGGGTCACTTAGCTAGTGTAGATGGGTCACTTCACTGATGTCTGTCATCTGGCTGGGGGTGGGTCACCTAGCTAGTGTAGATGGGTCACTTCACTAATGTGTGTCATCTGGCTAGGGGTGGGGGGGGGGGGGTCACCTAGCTAGTGTAGATGGGTTACTTCACTGATGTCTGTCATCTGGCTGGGGGGGGGGGGGGGTCACCTAGCTAGTGTAGATGGGTCACTTCACTGATGTCTGTCATCTGGCTGGGGAGGGGGGGGGTCCCCTAGCAAGTGTAGATGGGTCACTTCACTAATGTGTGTCATCTGGCTGTGGGTGGGTCACTTAGCTAGTGTAGATGGGTCACTTCACTGATGTCTGTCATCTGGCTGGGG